ACGGCTTCCGGAAGTGACTTGCTTCGGGCTATGCTCAATCCTCGCCAGTAGCACTGCTTTTAGGTCTGGTAGCCCCCGGAGTGCCCGGCTCTTCCCTTACGTATGTAGTATCTAACTGTTTGCTGTGAGCACAGTACAAGCCTGTCATCTCCTGGAGGTCATTTTGCTTGTATAGCTCAATCATATCTGTACGATACCTGCATCTCCGAACTTGCCGTATGCCACCCTAATTAATTTAATCGCTGCAGTCTGCATGCATGATTTAATTACTTGCTGCTGCAATCCTAATTCTTAATTTGAAGCATGCAACTGAATTTGTAATTTGTAATTTAATAATTAGTGTCTGATGGGCCCGGAGAAGCCCACCAGAGGCACAGGCTCTCAGAGTTTGTGTGTGTACATTGTGTTGCAAATGGAATGGCTCTTCGAGCTGGGTGGCAGCAATTTTAGGAGATCAGCCCTCAACATACCGAATCGCCTTGGTGTCAAAAAAAGCAGACCTCCGCGCTTCGAATCACTGAGCGCAGCATGCAGCACACATGTATGGTGTGAGCGCTTTGCAGCAGCCGTGATTGTGCAGTTGGTGAAGTCTTTTCTGCATCATGATGCTGATTCAGTTTTCATCGTTCTACAAAAGTGGGCAGAGGTGGCCATTGGGCTTCAGCAGGGTTGAACAACATGAAACGCAGCCGAGATCAGAGTCCCTCTGAGTCTCCTTCGCTTTCCGATTCAAGCGAGACTCCCCTTGCCTCTGAGCCCCCAGTACCTGCCCAGGCTCTTGCTTTGTCCTCAGGTGAAGTGGAACAGGATGATGACCTAGTGGTGAATGTCTCTGATGTTGATGAAGATGACGACTGGCATGGTATTGACAACTCCACTCGTAGAACATTGGCCTTAGCCTTGGGTGTTAACTTTTGTTATTCTCCGGTTGAGACGCTGGCATATACGTTTCTCTGCAAAAATCAGAGGGGTCTCGACATCACTAAGGAACAGCTCCTAGAAGTTTGGGATGCCATTCCTAAGAAGTGTATCCTACGAGATGGGGATGATCGGCGAGCACGAATGTTGGTCTTTGGGGTCAACCCGCGTAATACCCGTATCCTTTCCTCGGCCACCAACAATATGCCCCATGTATATGACTTGTTCAGGAAATTTGTGGCGCAGGTTGATTCGGCTTTCAGGTGGTCATGCCTTTGTATTCGTCAAGATTGCACTAGGGGACCACACCGAGACACGCGCAATGTAGGGAATAACCTGGTGATTGCTTTGACGAGTCATGAAGCAGGAGGTGGCTTGTGGCTTCATGATCCCAAGGGTTCCGTATATGTTGCTCATCAAGGAAGGCGCCTACCAGGGGTTGTTCATGCACTGGATAGCCCCTGTGTTTCCCAGGCCAGAACTATTCTTCATGCGACCCAGCCCTGGAATGAAGCTAGAAGGGTCATCTTGGTCGGGTTTACACCCATAGGCACCCTGTCCCTGCAAGACCCTACTGTGCCCAGACATCCCACGCAGAGACAATCCAGAATCTCGGACTTCTTCGCCAGCACAGATGTAGTGGATTAGAGTCGTCCCGCGCTCCCCCAAATGAATGTCTGCATGAAATTAGGGCCCCTCAAATGAGTGTCTTCATTAAATTAGGTTGCATTGCAAATTTGGAATTTGGAATTTGGAATACTTTGTCTCTTCATTTTGGGAGTCGTGGTAACTTTTCTTGCTCTGGACTTTCTGTGTTGGGGATTGGGCGTCTTCAGAGGTTCTCGTGCGGGGTCAATTTGTGGGCAGTGCGTCTGGTCGCTGCCCGGGCACCTTGGCAGCACTATTTCTCTCGCGATACATCACCGGAAAACCTAAAAAACCAGAAAAAGGTGATGGAGAGATGAGATGGCATGGTGACGGCACTTGCCTGCTTGCGACCACACCCTGCCACCGCACAACCAACATTTGAACATCATACACCACCTCCATGAGTAGAGAGAGAGGGGGTCGGTTGTCTAGGTGTCGTACTTCGCACTTCTCTCTCTTTTTGTGAGGTTCAGTCTATTGTGGATTCGGGGCATTTCTCTTGGGTGACAACTTTTCGACTCGCCATGGCCGATGCCTCTGATTTTCACCAGCAGTTTTGGCAGCCTTTGGGTTTTCTGAGAACTGGAGCCTGATCGGGTGGTTTCATGGACTGCGAAAACCTGCGGGGGCACGCAGCCGTACCCTGGTGCTTTGTCGAAGCAGCCTTCCTCTTTCAGCAATGGTGATGGTGTGGTCACGTCCTTTTCGGACTTTCTTCAACAACCGGTGCGTGCCGTGCCACACTACAATGCGAAATCTTGCATTCAGGTGCAAACAAAGATGGTTCTGGCTGGGCAGTCTGTTGCAGGCTTTGATGGATATAGCTTCAATTGAAGGGAGTGGGCAAACTGCTAACTGCAATTGAGTCTATGTTCTGGGGCTCGTGGATTCGGCAAAAAACCCCTGGCTTTTCTAGCCTTTCTCGGCATGCCGTCTTGGGCCTGGCAAATGCTGGCACATCCTTGTGCACCAAATTTGGACTTCGGACTGTACCTGGCTGTTCTTGCACCGGAGATTTTGGCTCTGCTGAGATAACTCGGGGAGTTGATGGATGTGCAGTGTGTGATCCTGCAGCCTACAAGTTGAATGGGTGAGTCTTGCTGAGCTGTGAGCTGCATTGCATCTGCATGTTAATTGGTAATTTGTAATTAGTAATTGGTAATTCTGATCCAGAACGGCATTTTGCTGACCCTGCATGTCTTGTCGTTTGAAAGTCCCACACGATCTTTTGTCTTCTGAGGCGTAATGCCGAGAGAGCATTTGCTAAGCGCGCATCTGCTCCTTTTGTCACGTGTTTTGCAGCCTTTGCGCTGGCTCTTAGTTGGTTATGTCAGTTTCTGTCGCTCACCCCTACTGGTTGTACTGTATCGCATATAGGGAGCTTCGGGATTGACATGACCCTGACAAGTGAGGTTTCTCATTGCTCTGGGCCCTCCCAGGTTCTTGTATTCTAGGGCTAGGCTCCGGACCCTGAGCTGAGTAACCTTATTTTCGTTTGCAGTCTCCTCTTTCCCAAACTAACCTCGCCTGTGGGCATTGATCCCTAGCCATGCGAGAGGGAAAAAATACCCTAAACCCTAAACCCTAAGCCCTAAACCCTAAGCCCTAAGCCCTAAGCCCTAAACCCTAAACCCTAAGCCCCTTTGCTCTTATTTTTCCGGAAAGGCCTTCGAGTCTGAGCTTGGTGTCCAGGCGCCAGCAACTTCGCGGCAAGCAAGCTTTTCGCTTCCGGACCTCCGCAACCGCAAGTTTTTTGTGTGTGAAGTTTAGGAGTTTAGGGTTTAGGGTTTAGGGGTTTACGGTTCAGGGACGTTCTTACATTAGGAGTCCTTGAGCTCAACATAGCTCAACTTCACTCTGGGGCCCCAGTTGTTGTAAGGATTCAAGCCCTGTTTGGGTTCCTCTATCATCCGGAAAGGTTAAGACGCCTAAACCCTAAACCCTAAACCCTGACCCCTAAACCCAGAGCTAAAATTAGCCTCCTTATGGTGAAGTCCGTGGGTTTCCTCAGTCCGGCGCTTGATGGCTCGCCCGGAACCCTTTGGGTTCTAGGAGCTAGGATAACTTGCTTGTTCCCAGAGAGCCCCATACCCCTTCATTAAGGAATATAATTAGGGAACATACTTTAAATCATAATATTAAGGCCCCGATACTTTAAGGTATATTCCTTAATGAAGGGGAGTTGGGCTCTCTGGATTCTTGAATCAAATCTGAAAGCCGAGGCGTAGGCAAAAACGCATCACACGACACAGAGGAGAGAAGCACCGACCAGGTGCAAGCTAAGCGGCCTGTAAAACCTTTAAAGCCTAACCCAAAACCCCCCAAACTCAACCCCAAAGCAACTTAAACCCGTGAGCCAAGACCCTAAACTAACGGGGCAGTGACGCCCAAGGTCGGCTTTTGGGACCCGCTCGGCCTTTCCAGCGATGGCGATGCCGAGGATGGGGGGTTCGGGTTTTGGGTGCTTCAGGAATTCAGGGATTTAAGGGTGGTTTAGGCTGTTTTTACGGTTGTGGTTGGCATGTTTGATAGCTTTGGGGGGCTTTAGGCAAAAAGGGGTTTCAGGCTTGTGGGTTTTAGGGTTGAGCTTTGGGCATTGGGGATGTGGGGACAAAAAGGCCCAGACGTTGGGATGCAGGACTTCGGGAATCTCTAGCGCGAAGCTTCGGCTTCTTACTATGCCTTGAGTCTAAGACTTGGCAAGTGAGACCTTGGTTAAGCACGAACGTGAAAGGCCTCTGCCCTAAATCCGGTGCGAGTCTGTGAGTCGAACCCCGAAACCTTCTACCTGAGCTCACTGGTTTTCGGATCGGCGGCTCTCTGAGTTTATCTCTGCAGTTTGAAGCGGAGGGCTTGTTTTTTCAGGGCGGCCCCTGCGCGCTCTGTCCGTGCGCACTGTGGCGCCAACTCGAAATGTGATTTCCGCCCGGCGCTTAGGCTGCGAGGTTGAGGTCTTCCAAAAGCCCAACCCTAGACTGGATCTGAGGTGTCAAGAAGAGCCCTAAAGGCTCCAGCTGGCCCGCTAGGCGAGTGATTGCCTTTTGCGCTAATGGCAGCCTGCAGGTGTTCGCTCGCCGGCGCGAAGTGGAGCTGAAGCACGGAAGGATCTCCGTGGATGGTGGAGTTTTGTGCATGGTCAGTACTTGACCTTTTTCGGAAGCTTGCGGTTGTTTTTGAAGGGCTTACACTTTGATGTCAGGGCAGGGCAACTTGGGACCGTACCATGTGCTGTTGTTTTGACCTCTGGCAATCAAGCGCGTTCCTTTCTGACCCCGTGTACTGTGTTGATCCGATGGAATGTGGGGGGTTCAACTTGTAATTGAAACCAAGAACCTGAAACTTATTCCATGGTCCCAAACCCCCAAGCCCTTCAAGAGACCCTTTCTTACAAAACCCTGGGCACTAAACCGCAAAACCCGTAGCGAAGGATCTCCATGTTTGCCACGATTGGCTACATTGTGCCGGAGTACTTCCGCTGGCCGGGTGAGCTCTCCCCGAAGCTGGCATGAGATCGGACATATATTTTCCTCTCTGAGTAATAAGTATTGTATTTTTTTGTGGCTGTTTCCGCTATCAGCTATCATTGAGGGTTTGCTTTTATTTGTTGTTGGCGATTGATATCACGAGTGTCATTACCATGCCAGGCATCTTTATTCTTGTTAGATTAGTTAGTGTTATCGCAAACGACTCTTGGCAGCGGCCAGATTGCACGTTCTCCCGTATACTCGAGCGTTGAGCTATGCCGAGACTGAATCGCATGCGTGGCATTGATCCCGGTTCGGTTGAATTGATCTGCTGCGGTGGTGCATTTGCCGTTTGGAGTGCCTCGTGCCTAGATGTTGCTTCACATCCCCTCGCTTGTCCTCGTCTGACGAAGGTCTTTCTGTCTTAGGTACCTGGGGGCATGCAGGGCCATGCGATGGCAGTGCTTTAGCACGATTGGGGACACTACGTCCACTTCTTCCTGCCTCACCTGCAGTACCCGTACGTTTCGTTCGGAGTATGTGTCCGGTGTTTCTTTAGATGATGTGTTATGGTAGTGACCAGAATCCTTTGGGGGTTGGCTATTCGCTTTGACGGCTGTGTCGGGTATTTGGGTGTTGGGAGTGGCGAGACAAGTCTTGCCACGATCAAGAAAGTCTTGCGGCGATCATTGGGTCCCTTCTGGGTTGCTAGCAGCAGGGTGTGTACTTGCTGCAATCGCGTTTTGACATGGTCCCATCTGGAGCTCCTTTCCTACTCCCTCTCCACTCGGATGCCTGCCCCGATCGGGGCGTCTGACACTAAAAACAAAGAGCGAAGCCCGGAAGAAATCCTGAAACCCTGATATCCCCAGGTTCAACCTCGAAGTTACAAACCCAACACGTCGAGTCGAACAGCCGCCGTGAAGCAAAGGAAGTTGGGCTTGAAGTTCACCGACATTCCCAATGGCCTTGCGGCCCTGACCAAGGCTAGGGCTCTCGAAGGTGGTCTTCTGGAATTTGATCGAGTTAGGTGGGGCTTTCCTGGGTCATTTTTCCGCCACGAGAGGGGTCGAGGGCTGGGTGCCCGGAGTTCCAGCTGAGCTGCCAAGCTTCGCCAGGGCGTTGGCTTTTGGATACTTTGCGGCTACAGAATCGAGTCTTAGACCCCTGGGCTTTTACTGGAGGCCGTGCTGGTGGTGGGATGCAGCACATTGACTCATACATTCAGAATGCCCCCGGAGTGCTGGTGAACCAATTGAAACTCTTGAGATGAGGGGTGAGGAGGTGTCTGTCTTCCTCGGTTTTGAGACGGTCCGCGTCGAATTCAGCAGGTGCCCGGTCAGGGCTGGGGGCAGATTGTGGCATTCCTGGGCACCTACGAGCTCTTCATCAACAAGCCAGCCGCTGGGCAAGTCTTTAGGACGCTTAAGGCTTTCAAACGGGTTCTAAAGTTTAGGGCTGTAGTGGCTGCTGCTGTAAGCTCTGGGGTTGACAGTTTAGGATGTGCACCTCAGTTCCGCTGACGGTCTGTGGCTTCGGAGAGTTTTGGAGTTTAGCGTTTAGGCATTCCAGATGTAGTGGCAACGGCAGTGGCGGCGGCCGTCGCAGACCCAGCAGCAGTGGTTGCGGCCACAACCCTTGCGAAGAGGGCACCAGTTAATGTCGCATGCACATGACGATGGGCTCCCAAGCCTTTATCTTCGGATATCTTCTGCAGAATAGGTTGGCTTGGCACACGAGCTCGAGGAAGACGGGATAATGCTGGTTTTGGAATTGGCCACAGTGATCATACCCTGTGTCCAGCTATTCCAGCACAACGAGTCATGGCCGCGTCGTTCGACGTCACGCATGCCAACTTGCACCGACAAGATGCATAAGAGATCTTTGGGTTAACAGCGAGGCTGGGAAGGTGCCGCAACTATTGTAAGATAATTCTCACCCTTTTAACATCACATGTGAACCGACAGAGATGTATGCACGCATGGGAGTGGAACTAACGCAAAGCCCTGCAAATCCCAAACCCTGACCTAAAGCTGCAAAGACGCCCAAGAACTAACCCCTAAATCCTAAACCCCTTACAACCTTTATGCCCCGACCTCAGCAGCCCCGACATGAACACTGAAGCACCGAATCGCCCCAAAGCCGCAAGACTTGAGCTCCGAAATCCTGCGACCCTAAGACCATAAGCCCCGTGAGTTGACGGGTTGGAGACCCTAGGACCCCAAAGCCAAAACCCTCAAAACGTGAGGCCCCAATCCCCCGCAAACTTTAAGGCCAAGGGCCCTTTCAGGTCTCCAAATTTCGGCCCGAAGGTCTCGAACTTTGGGCCCTAAGCCTCCGCGGCTCAGGTGGGCGAGGAGCCGGGAAACTACGGCAAGGGCAACTTGGGCCTTGGCTTCCTGGGCCCCGTAGCGGATCCCGAGGCTCGGATCTCCGGGTGAGTAATATAGGGATCTTCATAATTACCTATACTATTTTTGGGGTTCCTTATTATAATTATAGAACCCTGTTCTAATTATGAAGGCCCCTACATTACGTCTTGAGTTGCGATGCTTCTTCTTCTTGTTACTAGCTAGTGTTATCATCTTTCTTGTTCCTAGTGGTTGTGCTTCTAGGTTTAGGGTTTAGGGGTTTCAGTATGTACAGTCTTTCAAACTGGGAAGTCCCTGCCCTCGAGCGTCTTGACGGCATACAATCCAAGCCCGTTATCAAAAAAGGGGTTTAGGGTTTTTTTTTTGGGGAACGGGGGAGGGTTGAATTGCTATTTCTCTCTTTCTAAAATTGTGCTGTTGTTTCTTAGAGGGGAAAGGGGGGTTGGAGGGCTTTTAGTTTTTCCATGGATGTTTGGTGCTTTTCACGGGTCGAGGGTTGCTGTTCAATGGGAATTTGGGATGAAGGGTGCCTCCTTGCACTTTTGGGGGTTTACGATTTCCCAAAGCCTTGTGCGGCAATCCTTCTGCGGGCCGCAGAACCCGCAGCGCTACATACACACCTCAGTTACCGCGAACACCATGAATTGGGCTGAGAGCTTGTGAAACCTGTACTATACCAAAATATGCTATACTATACTATGCTTTATTATGCCATGCTATACTATACTATACTATACTATAACTCTACTCTGCTAAACTATACTACACTATAGCTCGCGACTGGCTTGCCAGGTTTCTGGGTCCGTGACCCACGCGACACACTAAACCCTCTACTTGGTTCCTGCGGTCCAAGACTTCACCCCAACCTTACTACTCAAAACCCGGACCCTAAATCACACACTCAAGACCCTAAACCGTAAATGCAGTTCAGCTTATCAGACTTCGACCAGCCTGCAATGCGGGCTCGTCCTTGCTGAATGGGAGGCGAAACCTTAAATCCTGCCCCACAAGTCTGCGAGGCACGAAAGCGCAAGCTTTCTGCAGAGCTGGCCAATGGCAGGCTTGCGATGATGGCCATCATCGGCATGCCACTTGCCGGCAACGGGGTCGAGGGTCGAGGGTCTGTGACCAAGCATGAACCCCTGCACCCCCAAGCAGCACCCAGTCATGCAATTGTTTGAGCTGCTCTTAAGGAAGCAAGGTGTGCATGTTGACACAAACATGGCGGCTTTCAGAGTTGTATTTGTGTTTGAAGATGCTTCGGCATGCATGTTACATGCATGCACATAGTCAATCATTGAGTGAATGAACAAATAGCCAAGCAGGGTGCATGCGTACATGCATACATACATGCATACATACATACATACAAGTATAGATATGAGTATATACGTACATACATACATACATACATACATACACACATACATACATACACAGATAGATACACAAATACATACATACATACATACATACATACATACATGCATTCACACACATCCATCCAGCCATCCATCCATCCATCCATCCATCCATCCATACATACATACATACATACATACATACATACATACATACATACATACACACACACACATATATATATATGAGAATATGATACATGCGCAGCCACAGACACACAAACGAACGCACCTCTACATCCATCCATCCATCCATCCATCCAATCCATCCATGCATCCATGCATGCATCATCCATGCATGCATGCATGCATGTAGCACAAAGAACAGATTACATTCACTACATGCATGCACTCGTACCTACCGCAAACACGCATGCCTGCACACATGTGTACATGCATGCATGCATACATACATACATACATACATACATGCATACATACATACATACATACACACATGAATAGGTAGGTAGGTAGGTAGGTAGGTAGGTAGGTAGGCAGGGAAGGTAGGGAGGTAGGTAGGTAGGTAGGTAGGTAGGTAGGCAGGCAGGCAGGCAGGCAGGTGTGTGTGTGTGTAGAAATACATACCCTTCCTGGAGTTCGTTTGCTTTGCGTGTTTGCGCACGCCCGTATAGACCTGATCTGTGGCTGGCAGATCGATCAGGTTCCACGGCAGGGCACCTATTTGGAGCAGGCAAATTAGCGTGAAGATGATGGGCAGGCATAAGACCGACGCTCACCACGCTGTGGTCAAGACTCAAGAAGCCCTGATGATGAGGAGGGCCAGGTAGTTTAAGTCTTGTGATGAAGTTGGAGAGAGTGCGGTGCTGCAAGAGAGAAGGACGGGGATGACGTTGAGCAGCTATGGTGACGGCCGTGCTGGTGACTAGTCAAGAAGATGAATCCGAGTCAGCAGATCAAGGCTCGCATGATTGTCAAGCCTGCATGTACAATACATGCTTTGCAGCTGTCCAGGCTGTTCCAGGACGGTCTCACAGGGTCCGCGTGGGGTGACTGGGCGCTGTATACCGACTCGCCTCTCCGTGGCTCGGTATGCACTTTCTCGCGCATCAGCTAGGCGTGACTTTTCTTAGATGTCGAAGCTTGCGGTGGATGCCAGCCCGTGCCGAGGAAGTGGCCTCATGAGCCCGGGCTACAACACCCTCCCTGAGTGGGAGAAGCCGAACACGGGCGCCCTGCCTTAAGTGAAGCTGATTGAAAAGCAAAGATAAACCACCTCGCCGTGGTTGGTTGATCGACTCGATAAGCTTGCTTGCCAGGCTTCGAAGGCCTCACCGGCGACCAGGCACCTCTGGGCTTCTGGGACCCCCTCGGATTTTCGAAGGACCTGGACGTCGAGGTGTTCAAGAGGCGCCGATGGGGGTTGTGCAACCACTGACAGAAGCTGGTTGCCAGGTTTGAGATGTTCAGACATCTTTGATGCAGGCGCCGGGAGACAGAGATCAAGCACGGACGTGTGTCCATGTTCGCAACCATCGGCGAAGAGCTGAGGGGTCGAATGTT